AGAAAGCAGTAGAAACCTGTGTTTTTGGCGCAATTGTCTTTGTTTTTAATTTTTGACAAGTTATTATATAGAAAAAGGAGTTTTGTCCTAAAAAACATAGGTTCCTTTGATTTACTCAAGTTTATTTGACCTTATTCTTTATTAAACCAACTTATTTCATAACTAACTTCATAACATACCTTAATTAATTCATAACTTATAAATCATAATTCTTAACTTACTTAATTCATAACAACCTTTAGATTAAAGAACAGTTTTAAATTACTTTGGGTACAGAAAGTCCTAGACGTCTTATTAGTTGACTGAAAAAGAACTGCACTTAGATGATTATTATCTATGTCGAGAAATAGTTAACTATAATATTGCAATTGTTCAAAACCTTATTTATCCAGATGTATTTAAAAAAATCAAAAAAAGGGTGAGTGTTGCATTAAAGTTATTTCTTTTTTTGTTTTAACACATAAAATCAATAATAACTATTAAAGTTGTTTATAAGTTACTTTTTACCCATATTAATCCATTTTGTTAGAAGATCAAAGTACTATAATTACTTTAATAAATTTCCTTTATATATTTAACCATTTTTATGAAAAACTTTTATTGTTTTACATAAATTGATTGTTATAAGTTTATTTGAAATGTACAAATCTTACGTTTAAATTAAATTCTTAATTAGCAATTGGTATGCTCTATTTATGAAGTTGTAGTGTTAACATTATTTTATAGTGTTCTTAATTAAGCAGAGTTGGACTTGTTCTATTTGCGAAATACCTCAGTATAATGATATGATTGAGTGTGAAATTTGTGCGACATGGTATCATTGGTAAGTAAGCAAATTTAGTTTCTGAAATTAAATACGCACAAAATTTACTTGCTTTTACTTTTTACTAAAGCTGTTATCTTTTTTTTAAGGATTTGTGTTTCGTTATCTAAAATAATAGCTGATGGGAGTTAGGTATGCTGTAAGTGTGATGACAAAAAAGTTTCCAAAATGCAATAAACCAACAAGTTAATAGTTAATTGAATGGTTAAATGTATGCTTTTAAGCTTTTTAATGATCTGCAACAGATTTTATTTTACCTTTTCTAGATTTATGAGTTAATTTTCTCATTAAACTACATCTTTATTGACAATTATATGTTTTTGTACTTAATGCAAACCCAGTTTCTATTTCATTTATTTTCTGAAACCAATTGTGGTAATCATTGATTGCTATTGGTGAACCTTATTTGGCTGTTTAGTTTTACTTACTTGCAATTGTTTAAAGTTATACTTTATTTTTAGTTTATGCCATGATATTAATACTGGCATGAATGTTTTAGATATTAACATATACATTGGCATTATATTATTACTTTTTGTGATACAAGTATAAATTGCCCCAATTGTGCTGCTAGTGTCATGGTGATAAATTTGTTTTGACACAACATATGCTTATACTTTTATGACATTGGTAATTTAGAAATTTAGAGCCTTTAGTGATATTGGTATAAGTCATAAGGGGTATCTTATATATTTATATATTTCTTTCCTTTTTGCAAAATACACATAGGGAAATCCTAGGTAAATTTTACTCGAGGCTTATCTAAGTAGGTCATTAAATTAGAAATTAATTGATAATAGAAATAAAAAAGATGTGTTAATATTTTGAGTGTTTTTGTAAATATTTAATAAGATTTGAATAAGATATTAAAGTATTTTAAATAAAATATTTGATCATCAATAAATGTCTTTTTTTCATATTAGATTATACTGCATGCTATATTTTTATTATAAATTAAATAAAGAATTTATGGTAATAATGGTTACAAAATGAGTTTTTATATCGTAATTTAAGATCTATATGAATCTTTTTATTGAATCTATATGAATCATTAATTGAGATAAGTGATGCAAATAGAGTTTACAGTTTTTCAAAAGCTAAAAGTTTAAAGACCATTTAAGCATTTCCAGATATCGCAATTAGCAATCACTTTATTTGAGCCCTGACAACATTTTAGCATCAAGCACAGCAAATACAATGTCTTGAAACATTTACATGACACATGAAATGTAAATAAACTTCAAAAAAAATATTTGTTTCAAAAGCTAGATAAATAAGATGAATAACCTTTTCAAATATTTTTCATCCTATTGGCCCCAAATACTCAATAGAAATTATGTTTACCTTTTCTTTTTTTCTTTTTTTTTTTTTGAGGGGCAAAGGGGCAACTAACACTAAATGACTTATCATTTGTAATTTTCCTAATTGAAGTAACTGCCTAGAGTTATGGGTCAACTATCAATTTATACTTGATAATACTATTCAATTGTAAGTGGCCGTTCCCCCGGCTAAAGAAAAGGCTTTTTTAAAACATTTTTTTTCAAATACTTTTATTTTTTTAAAAGAATTTATAATGTTTTTAATATAAAAGAAAGTATAAATTTATATTTAATACTTTCTTTTATATTAAAAACATTATTGAATGTACACTTTACTGCGCATATCACTATTTAAGTCAGCTGATGTATACTTCACTCCGACTACAGCTGATAAACATAAACTAAAATAATAAGTACAATACATAAAACTTGTCAAAAAGTAAACTCTATTTAACAAATTAAAAAAAAAAATAGCAAGATAATTACTGGATCTGTATTTAATGAAGTTGTGGGTGACAACCAGTAAGACATTTGACAGTCATTAGAACAGATGGTCACTGTTACTCAAAATAATTTTTTTTTTTTTTTTTTGTTCAAAAACAAGCCTCTTTTACATATTAAAACATATATATAAATACTTAAGATATAGTTAAACACCAGAGTTAATTAGTACTCATGTGTGTTAAAAAATGAATGAAGCCAAGTAATAAAGTCAAAACTAAAAGCAATAACAAAGTGATTATTTTATTTTAGTATCCTCTTTTTTTTTTTCATCATATCATCATTATTTGATACTTTTTGTTTATTTATCTTCTTTTTTTTGTTTTCCGACTTAAATTCACTATTATGTTTTACTAACAAGTATTATTTATATTTATAAACATGGGTGTGGTGTCATAAATGGCGAGTTTTACATACACGAGTTATTGAAATCAATTGTGTGTATGATCCTCCAAGTTATTGCATTTTGTGAATTACGCTTTACTCCCAATCAGGGTTAGCATAAGAATAGCTTATTGAAAATTTACAGAGTACACAATTACTTCAATTGTAAAAGGATTTTAACAGAAAAACTTCTTAGTAAATGTGAGCATTTTTTTAAAGTTTACTTTTTTTCCTTGCTTTTTTTTAATTATTATTATTCTTTAAATTCAAAAGTATTTTTATTAAAATAACAATGATAATTTTCATTATGTTTTCAGAAAATAAAGGACAGAAAGTTAGTAGACTTAGATGCGAAAGATCTATATGCGAATTCAGTAGTCAAAAAAGATAAAATAGCATCATTTTGTAGATCAAGTTTTTTTAATTTTTGCTTTTGTTTGGGAGTTTAGGTCATTGCTTTTTTTTGTTTTGATTTTGACTTAATCCAAAAAACATTCTGGATTTTTATTTTTAAGTTAAATAACAATTAGTTCATTGTTTTTATTGAAGCTTTGAAAAGTATTATATTATTTTCAGCACTTGGCATAATCTCATATAGTGAAATGTTTAGTTTCTTAAGTCTTTATTTTTTTCTGTCTACTTTTAGTGAAGTATAACAGAAAACTCATTGCCAATTATATTAGATTGATATAAGCAATTTTAAAATATACAATACAGTTTAACTTTTTTTTTTACTTTTTTTTTAAAATTTATATTTCATTTAAAATATCAATTTTGTAATAGTTTACATTATAAATAGGTTTTTAGTAGCACTCTAAATTTAAATAAATTTAAAGGCTTGTATCATGTTTGTATTAAAAAGTATTATTTATTTTATGAAATAACTATATATTATATGTTATTATTAATTTAAGCAAGCATATGTTATTATTAATTCAAACAAGCATATTATTATATTATTTTAAGCATGGCTAGCAGAAAAACTTGTAAGTTTAATATTTAATAACTTGTGTCAATATTTTGCAATTTTTATGATAGTTCCGATTAAATTACTATTTATCAACTTTTGAAAGTATAATACTGAAAATCTCATTTATGTCTTCACAACTTTTAATATTAACTATTAATAAATAATTTAAAATGACTATAGTTATATTGTTTATATGTAGTACCAAGTGGAGGCTATTACGAAGATGATTATTTTTGTAGTATACATTTTAACTATTTATTTTTCTTTAGTGTAATTATTGCTTGATTAAATAGTAAATAAAATATTTAGTTCTTTGATAATAACTTCAGTAATAACACTGTTATTTACTACTTTTTATTTATCTTAGATTTTGTTAAAAGTACCAATGACAAAGAAGTTGGTAAGTGATTATAAAGAATTTTTTTACTAATTTTCTTAAATCTAAATTAAGCTGTTATATATATTTTATTTTATTATATTAAATTTATTTTTTCAGGTAGAATAGACTTCAAAAGAATAGGTATGAGATGATAGTTTATGTTTTAATTATTTTCAGCGAGTTAACTTGTACAGGTCAAATAAACCAATCAGTGCCTTAAAAAGTTCAATACTTTTTAATTTCTTTTATAAAACCTTGGATTAGTCCTTGAACTTTTAAAGTTTATTTTAAAAAATATTCTTTATGTTAGTTTTTTAAATATCGTGAGTGTTAGTTAAAATTATAAAAGTTTAAATAATAAATTTTTTAGGCCAAGTTTATTGGTATAGTCATCGAGTATGTTTTCATTATCGACAACACAGTTACATAGTTAAAAATGTTTTTTTCAAAAAATATCACTAGTTTAACAGTTAGGAATGTGATTGCAAATATTTGCAATTAATTCAAAGAGTTGAATTAATATTTTATTAGTTATCTATGAAATTTCTTAACTTAGAGAATTTTTAAAATATATTTATTAAATTGTTCATTTTATTATTTTTCTTAGACTTAAATAGAATAAGAAAAGAAGTAGGTAAGTCAAATAAATGTTTACTATTACATTATTTTACTATTACTATTACATTATTTTTCTTTGTTAATTTGCAGTACTTTTTTTACTTATTTTTAGAAAGCAAAGAACTGAAATTGGGTATGAAAACATATTTTTGATATTAATTAAATTACTTCTATTTCTGAATTTTTCTTAATAATTTCATCTGTTTCTTTTAGCTCAACTAGAAGAAAGAAAGAAATTAAGTAATGTTATGTTTTATAAATTTTCTTTCCAAATACTTGTTCTATGCATGTTATAAAATATATGAAACTTTTTTTTTTTTTTATGTAAGGTAATACAATATAATTTATAATAAAAAACGTATAATAATAATACAACAGTATTTAATGAAGGTATAATTGGATTTTTTAAAATTTACATATTTCTTTTTTTATTTTAGTGAAAGCTAGAAAAGACTTAGGTATTCATTATTTTAAGTAGCTAAAATATTTTTATATCTGTAAACGTTTATTTAATGAATTTTGATTATAAATAAATTATAATAAGTAAAATAAAATATTTTCAATAAAGATTAATTTATCAAAAAATATTTTTAGACGATAAGATCTTGGAATTAGGTAATAATTTTTACGTTGTATTTATACATTATTATAAGCTTGTTTCACTTTTTGATTTCATAATTAAGTTAAATATTATGTTTAGAAAAACATGGTTTGCAATTAGGTATTATTTTCCATCGAGGTTTATTTATTTTTATTTATATCTTAGCGCTTTAAAGTTTTTTGTAACTGCAATAATAGCCACCTTTATACGAGAAAATTGTTACAATACGATTTTAATAAGTACCACTTTAGTTTATATTTATGATAACATATAATGACTAAAGTTTGGTAATTGTAGTAAATTTGGTAAATTGTAGTAAAAATTAAAGTGAAAGAACAGAAGGTGCTAGTACTTGTGAAGACTCAAATAGTAAATATATTACTCTTTTGGTTAATAATGAAGTCCATGAGTCATGAATTTCGATATTGTATTATTAGGTAAAGTAGCCCTTGCACTGCCCAAGACTAAAGAAACGCCCGCTGCCGATGTGCAAGCAGCCAAAGGTAAGCTTGTTAGCTTTTTTTTGTTTTAATATAGGTAAAGTACTGTGTATGTTTATATGTAAAAATATATCCTGAATTTTTAAAATTATATAGTAATTCATTCGACAAAACTTTGATAAATAACAATTTTTGATTAAATATATAAAAAATCACTAATTTATTAGATCGTGTTAGATAAATAGTGAGAAACAAAAAGCTGATGTATAACATAAGAATTTTTTTACATTAGAAACGTCTTGGGAAATATTTTAAATATACCGGCGAAGTCATCCTGGTCCAAAGACTTGGCGGGCGTTTCAGTTTTGGAGGTGTAATGGCTGCAGAGACTTGCCTAATTTTTTTAAGCGGAGATATTCATTAAACTTGATGCGCTGTTTTGATTTTTTATTTAACGTGATTAATACCCTTAAAAAAAAGTTCAAGGAAGACTAGTTATTTAAGTGCTTTTTTTGAGTTCAATCTATATAAATCAGTGAACAATTTCCATTAAAATAAAAATGTTTATATTTTTGCCTCATTCATTCATTTATATTAAAAAAGACAATATTTAAATCTGCGATTAAACAGGAAATACTTAGTTTTTGAACCTAAAGTTTTCAGATATAATTTTCAATTATTAGGTAGTTACACAATAGTTAAAGCAGATTCAGAAATTTCTTGAATTACAAAAATTTTAAAAAGAGGTAAAGTTTCAATAGTGTATACAAAAAAAGCTATTAAATCTACACTTTTGAAAATTATGCATTGGTTCTGCATTAATTCCTTCAAAATATCGCTACAATTATACCGTGAAAATTTCAAACCATTTGGACCATCAGATCAAATATTATTGAAAATATAACACTCAAAATAACTTAAAAAAGAAAAAAGTTAAAACTAAAAAAAAGGAAAAAATGCCATAAAACAATAAATAAGCTTCAGGTGGTATAGTTTCACTTTGCTTTTCATAATCCCAGTTACTACAGAACTTTTTTTTATGTTTTGAAAGAGTTGATCTAGGCATACCTTAATTAATTTCCTCTAAAATTGAACATCATTAATTTATTCTTATTTGGAATATATAACAACAATAGCAGTAAACAAATGAGAGTCACTTGGCAAATGTAAAGATAGTAAATTAAACAACTTATGTGTTAAATTATCTAATTTCACGTGTTAAAAAAACGTTATTTTATAGTATGGATTTTAAATATATCTTGCTTTCCCAGTGGGCACAGAACGTAAAAAGGACGTCCTTAGGACGTTCGAATTGCGTCCGTCCGTCCCATTAAAATTCTAAACGTCTTTTGAACGTCTTTTTCGCGTCCAATAATTTTTCTTTCAAAAAATATCCAGAATGCTTTATTAAATTTAAAAAAATCAGTTAAATCACGCAAGCGCTAAACTTCTTAAAATTTTTAAGTAACGCATTTTTGATAAAGTTTTTTTTCAATTACAAAAGAAGTCTTTTTACAACGACTAATAGACAAGTTCCACCTAATTTTTTTTTTTTTACCAATTACTTGAAAATTGTGGTAATATTGATACAGGTAATAAAATTTTTACAGATAATGAAAGAAACGGTTTAAAACTGAATATATGCAATACTATGTATATATATACTTGATATACTTTTAGTATAGTATTGCTATATCAAGAACCAAGTTCTAACTATTTCAAAGATTTAGACATCTCATGCAGAATCAAATTTTTCAATAGGAAAACATGTTAATGATACATGGAACAATTATCCTGATAATTCTTACTAATTTTAAAAACATCTTATGAAAAGCGACTTGTAGACAGGTTCTTGCTAATTTAAATATAATTTTTTAAACATTTAATTACTTGAGAATCGTATTATTATTGATACATATATTGAAATTGATACAGATATTGAAATAAATAGTTAAAAACTAGGTATATGATATACTATATATATATATATATATATATATATATATATATATATATATATATATATATATATATATATATATATATATATATATATATATATATATATATATATATATATATATATATATATATATATATATATATATATATATATATATATATTAAGTATATACTTGCCACTTGATATAGTATTTCAAGTATAATAATTGATATACTATATCAAGAACCAAGTTCTGACTGTTTGAAAGACTTAGACATTGCAGAATCTCATGCATAATCATATTTTTCAAAAGCCTAATAATAATAAAGAGAGTTTATGAAGAAAACCTATTATTAATACAGAGAGTTTATGCTGATAATTCAATATAATTCAATATCTTTAATTAACAACTTATAGATTGTTCTGTTCAAAATAATTGGACCAGTACATTAATTAATGCACTTTTTGACATATTACAATATCAAGATTTGGAATTTCGCTAAAAACCAATTACTTAACTTTAGTAATTAGTTATTAGTGAAGTTCAAAAGTTTTCATTAAAAAATAAGTCTAATTGAAAAAATTAAACCAGTCGTAACAGTTATATATAACTGTTAATAACATTCCAACACGTGATATAGTGGTTATTCATATGTTAAGTTTTGGCTGCTGCCACTAACAGGCCATTAAGTAAACGATTACCAAAACTGCAATGACCTAAAATGCCTATATAGCTCCACTGAAATTCTGATTTAAATGTTTTTGCTGTGTTATATATTTTTTTACTAAATACTAAAACTAAGACCAAGGAAATTTAAAGTAAATGGATTATACTTATTAATAAAGAAATTATATAGTCCTTTGATTGATTGCAAACTTATATTTCTATTGTATATATATATATATATATATATATATATATATATATATATATATATATATATATATATATATATATATATATATATATATATATATATATATATATATAGATATAGATATAGATATAGATATAGATATAGATATAGATATAGATATAGATATAGATATAGATATATATATATATATATATATATATATATATATATATATATATATATATATATATATATATATATATATATATATAATTATTATAATAATTTATAATAATTTTTCTGTTTTTATTTAAAATTTATTGAAAAAAATAAGATTATATTTTCAATGTAGCTATTTTCTCTTTAATACTGCCTAGTTTTTCTTTCAAAAAAATGACTTTCGTGACCAAATCTCTTTAAATAATAGAAAAATGTCTTCTTAAAATCCTAGCTTATAGCGTCAGTTTTAATACTAAAAATACAAAATATATGTCAATAAATAAAATAAAAATGAGTTTTGCTAAAATTTAAAACTACTAGAATTAGTTAAAATTTAGAATTATTAGTTATTAATAGTTAAAATAAGTAGAATTTGTAGTATTAGTTAAAATTAAGAAACAGATAGTGTGAAACATCAATTAGATACAATTTAAAGTTGAACAGAAAAATTTAAAAAAAAATAAATAAAAAATGCTAATGCTAAAAACATAACACTTGTAAGAATATATTTTACTTTTCCATAATATTTATTTACTTGTTAATTAAGATTTTATTTTTAGAAGCGTCAACTACATCAAGTGTCAGTAGATATATATGTTTTGGTCAAATACATGTTTGTATTTGGTAATATTATGTTACATTTTTTTTTTTTTATTTCAAAAACTCATATAGCATTTATTTAAATATGCATTTAGAAATCTAGAGTTGATGTGTTTGTAGTTTTAGTTTCTAATTTTGTTTTAAATTAAAGAAATTTTATTTGATTAAATGTATTTAACCCTAAAGTTCATTTTTATTTTTGCCTTCGGTTTTAAAAAAATAGAACAAGGGTTTTGGTATAGTTTATTTTATGTAATGGTTAATGTAATATAATTTATTTTAAGTAATATGCCTAATGAGTTTTAATTAGTAACAACTTTTTTAATTCATTCAGCTCCTCCAAAACTTGAAAGTCTGTGATTCAAAATTTTGCTTTTTCCAAAATAAAGTTAAAGAAAATATATAAAGTCAATGATAAATCTTAAAGTTTTACAAAGATTAATGTAAGTAATATTTTTTCTTGTAATAACTATCGTGGAAGTTATTTTAATTATCTAGGCCTTTTATTTTTATAAATTAAGTTTTTTAATATTTCTCAATATTCAAAATAGGTTCCTAGTCAATTCAGCAAGAAAAAAAGAACATTTAAGAATTTCCTTTCAAAAGATGTAGTTAGTAAAATTTTAAGTTAGTTATATATATGTATATACATATATATATATATATATATATATATATATATATATATATATATATATATATATATATATATATATATATATATATATATATATATATATATATATATATATATTTATATGTATATATGTATATATATATATATATATACATATATATATATATATATATATATATATATATATATATATATATATATATATATATATATATATAT